CCGGAGGTGGCGGACGCTGTCGTTCCTGGTGGCGCTGCCGGCGGTGGGCGTCTGCATGCTCAACGTGCGGCTGGAGCAGAGGCGGCACACCTCCACGCGCCCCGAATTCGTGCCCTACCACCACCTCCGCATCCGCACCAAGGTACGCCGGGGTCGATGGGCCCGTGGGGGTCGATGTGTGGAGGAGAAGGCCTGATAGGGAGGTGGATGGTCAGGATGGGTTGGAGGAGATGGGCCCATGGGGTCAATATGGGGTGGAGAAGACCTGATGCTGGAGCAGATGGGCCCGTGGGGTCAATATGGGGTGGAGAAGGCCTGATGGGGAGGTGGATGGTCAATATGGGGTGGAGAAGACCTGATGCTGGAGCAGATGGGCCCGTGGAGTCAATATGGGGTGGAGAAGGCCTGATGGGGAGGTGGATGGTCAATATGGGGTGGAGAAGACCTGATGCTGGAGCAGATGGGCCCGTGGGGTCAATATGGGGTGGAGAAGATCTGATGCTGGAGCAGATGGGCCCGTGGGGTCAATATGGGGTGGAGAAGATCTGATGCTGGAGCAGATGGGCCCGTGGGGTCAATATGGGGTGGAGAAGATCTGATGCTGGAGCAGATGGGCCCGTGGGGTCAATATGGGGTGGAGAAGATCTGATGCTGGAGCAGATGGGCCCGTGGGGTCAATATGGGGTGGAGAAGATCTGATGCTGGAGCAGATGGGCCCGTGGGGTCAATATGGGGTGGAGAAGATCTGATGCTGGAGCAGATGGGCCCGTGGGGTCAATATGGGGTGGAGAAGATCTGATGCTGGAGCAGATGGGCCCGTGGGGTCAATATGGGGTGGAGAAGATCTGATGCTGGAGCAGATGGGCCCGTGGGGTCAATATGGGGTGGAGAAGATCTGATGCTGGAGCAGATGGGCCCGTGGGGTCAATATGGGGTGGAGAAGATCTGATGCTGGAGCAGATGGGCCCGTGGGGTCAATATGGGGTGGAGAAGATCTGATGCTGGAGCAGATGGGCCCGTGGGGTCAATATGGGGTGGAGAAGATCTGATGCTGGAGCAGATGGGCCCGTGGGGTCAATATGGGGTGGAGAAGATCTGATGCTGGAGCAGATGGGCCCGTGGGGTCAATATGGGGTGGAGAAGACCTGATGCTGGAGCAGATGGGCCCGTGGGGTCAATATGGGGTGGAGAAGACCTGATGGGGAGGTGGATGGTCAATATGGGTTGAAGAAGACCCCATGCTGGAGCAGATGGGCCCACGGGGTCAATATGGAGTGGAGAAGACCTGACACAAGGTAGATGGGCCCTATGAGGTCAATACAGGGTGGAGAGACCTGATACCGGTTTGATGGTCCCATGGGGTTAAGAACAAGATGAAGAAGGCCTGAGGCCAGGATAGATGGCAAATATGGGTTGAAGAAGACCCGATGCTGGAGCAGATGGGCCTGTGGGGTCGATACGGTGTGGGACAGCCCTGACGCCGGGGTCGATGGGCCCTATGGGGCCGAGTTGGAG